TGAAGTGGCTTCTCGGACCGGACTCGAGCACATCATGGGGGCTCCTCGTCCTGCTCTGCCAGCTCGACTTGGGCCCTGGTGCTGGAGGGACGGCCCCGCAGCCTCACGCAGCAGCGGAGAGGGGTGTCTGAGCCTTCCGGCTCCTTCTCCCTCCTTCTCATCCCGTCTTCCCCGTTGCCTGGGTTGGTGATGGAGGTTGTGGCTTCTTTTAGGAAGCTCTGCCTGGAACTGTAACAATGCAGCATCCAGATGTAGGCGTATTTGGTGGACAAAGGCAACCCCCCTGATCTTAGGGCTCAGCAGGCCTTTTAGCTCTGAAGTGGGGTAGCCTTTTTGCTGGTGGTTTTCCATAAGACTATGAACAATTCTAGGTCTGTTTCACATTTCCTACCTTTCCCAGTTGATGATGCTGGGAAGTAACAAGAAATGAAATCAACTGGTTAACCCAGGCCTGTGCCAATCATCTGCTTATGCTGTTTTTTGGTTGTTGTTTCTTTTTTAAGAAGCTGCTCACAGATAATGGACTATTAGTATCTTTTTATGAAGAATAATTGACATTTATTTTACAGATGAAATGTCAGATGATGCAGAGATTTGGAAACTGATGTGTTGGATAAAGCACTTGCATTTGGGGGGTGATTGAGCTAAAGGATCTTAAAAGGAGTAAAAAAAATGGCATTTCTCCAAGAGTTTGTCTCTAATGCAGCCAGTATTTTCCTTGATTAACAAGGATTCTGAGCCTGTCCATCACAAGTGTCTGTGCCTCTTGCTGTAGCTGAGATAGGTAGAACAGCAGGAGGTGATTTTTTTTAACAGCTCTTTTGTCCTTATTGTACTGCTTGCTCAGATCCTAGTTAGCTGAATCCTTCAGAAAATCACATGGTTTGCATGGATTTAAACCTGGTGTTGTCTCCTTTGAAGGGGATTGGTTTAGGAGTGTGTTTCATGTGGGCTGTGGACAGAGTGGCTTCTTGTCTCACTGAGATGTCTGCTCACCCTGGTGCTCTTACTGGCTCCTCCACAAGCAGATAAAGGTCAGATAAACCTGTAACAATGACCTGTCAGGATGGTGCCTCCCTTCTGGGCGTTGGCTTCCTTCAGAAGCACTGGTGCTGTGATTTCATTTGAGGCTTTTATGGATTGTTGGCAGGAACTGCAGAAGCCAGCGAACAGGCTTTTGCAGTAATCGAGGAAACTTCTTGTTACATGCTCCTCCTCATCACCCCCAAGTTTGAGGTGGGGTGGTTTTTTTTGGCTTTGTTTGTTTTGTTTCAGTTAATAAATTTCAGTATCCTCATACTGTCCTGAAACACTAAAGCTTGGAGGCTCAGGGCTTCTAGTGCTTCATAAATGCTGCAACAATTCATTCTTAAATTGTACCAAGGGAAGAAAAAAAAAAAACAAACACCAACAACAAACCAACTGGCTGAATGATTTTTGAACTTGGCAAATTATGTATCTCTCTACCTTGAAGCAGTTTTTTGTTTGTAGATGATCTAAATATAAACCACTTTGATGTAACTTTTAAAGAAGTACGAGGCCATTTTCTATGGTTTTCTTTTTTTAAGTTCTATTTTCTGTCAAAATGGTCGCAGTTTTCCTGCAGTTGACTCCTCAGTGGTGGCCTTTGCTGAAGTTTCTCAGCTCTGTTGCTTCTTGAAAGTCAAGTTTCCAAGCTGCTGTCTTGGGGTCTAGAAGTTGAGAGAATGTCCTTTGAGCTTTCTCTTCTTGATCTTTGCAAGGAAGTGTTGGTTCATATGGACTGTTTCCCATCAGGAAAAGAAACCCTTTCCAAGATCTTAATTCAGGGAGGCTGGGAACCACCATTCCTTGCTGTGGCTCCTGCCATCTGAGCAGTATTCTACCACAATGTTCTCACAGTATTTCAGCATCTCATCTCTGGGAGACAAGTTCTGTGGGCAGCAGTGCCATTTATTCTTAAACAAAGCTTTGTGTGCTATTTTTAGGTGATCTCAAGATCCATTTTGTGTGAGGAAAGCAGGGGCTTATCTTTGAATGGGTAAGGATAATTGTTGGCAGGCCTGCATCTGAAAGTTCATCAGTCTGATCTTGCAGGGAAATAAAAATACTTTTGACAGAGTATCTGGCAGTTCTGAGGCCAGCTGAAATCTGGATCCTTGTGCTATTTATATTTTATCTTCTTGAAATGTTATTATTAATAATAAAAGCAAAGGGATCAACCAGCAAGAAAGCTATGGCTCCTGGTAGGTGCATACAACAGGAGCCATAGCTTTCTTGTTGGTTGGTCTCTTTGCTTTTATTATTAATAACAGGAGTGTTGATGGATTAAGCAGATCCAGTAGATAGTGCCCTTATCTGTTCATCTCTCCATTTTCTCCATATTGCTTCCATCAGCTGCTGCCCTGGCTGCAAGCTCAGCCATTGCTATCAGATTGCATAACCTTGTGTCCAGGTTTGCCCCAGCACTCTGGGGCCAGAGCAAGTTGAAAGGGCCTTTTCAGATAGTGGCACACTAGAAGCAAAGCAACTCGCCAGTAGTGACACACATTTTCTAACAAGGAAAAAGATTGCTTGGGAACTGGGTGCTCTGCAGTCCCTCTCCTGGCACAGCCCTGCTCTGTGCACACAGGCACTGTCAGTCAGACCTGACAGGGTTTATGTCCTGGTTCCTTGAGGGCAGAGGAACATTTTGACTCATCTGATGATCCCCCTAACAAGAAGGCACACACTTCATCTGCAAGCCAACTGTAAGAGGCATCTATATGATATGAAACCAGAAGATCTCTGGGTGCAGCTCTCTGGATCTCTGTAGGCAGAGCAGTGTAATCATGGGCTAACCAGAGATTTGTTGGCAAACGAGTGTGCTGCTGGTGCTGTCCCAAGAGCAGAACGTCAGCACTGCTCTCTCCCAGGATTGCCAAGGCTTTGCTGAAACAATCAGAATGGAAAAAAGAGGCTGTTTTTTTTCCAGCTGTATTTCATGATTTGCTATTCCTAGGAGTAGCTGCCTCCCTTAGCAGAGTAGTCCCTATCCTCTAAAAAAACCCACCTCTCTGTGCAAGAGAACTACTTTCTGCCTCTGCCATCCCCATTTCCAGCTCCTGTCAGTACAGATGATCAGCAATTATAGTAGTTTCCCTCTAGCTCTTGAGAATATATTTTATTTCCGAGTCAGTTTGTTTCCTACTTAAAGCTACAACAACAACAAAAAAACATTCACAAGAATATAATCCACTTTAGTAGCTCTAATTGTATGAGTCTTAGCAGACTTATGCCTCTTCAGCAGAGGACAGCTATTGAGTGTTGGAAAGCCTGGACCTGCTTTTTATGTAACAGGAACCAGACCTCTATCATCCATTAGAAAATGCTCCAAAGTGATTGTGCTGGACTTATGGCTGAAGCTGAGTGGGAAGAAAGATGTTGTAGATGTGGTAGGTCCTTGCCCCTCTGCTTTTTCTTGGATATCCCTACAGGGTTTGCTTTCTTTTAAAAAGAACTAAAAAAAGTAGGCAGTTCCAAGGAAAGAGTAATCACTGGGAAGTAATATCATTTTATATATTAGTAGATTTTCCCCCCCCTCCCCCCGAGAGTAAGATCAGGAAACTTTTAGTAGCTGTTATTATCTGGTACATTCTGTAGTGGTTTTAAGAGCTGCTGGTGTTAAAGATCTGTGTTGGAGTTTTCTGCTCCCAGAACTGCTGTGGGATTTTGAGATTCATGAGACCTGTTGTTAGTCTTGGTAGACTTGCTCTTCCTCCAGTGACAGGGAGTAGAGCAGTAGTTTGGGAGCCCTGGGGATGGTTAGAGCTGGCTGGAAGCCACAGCAGGTTTTATCCAGGGACACCATGTCCCTGGGTTCATGCCTGGCTTTTGGGCTGGCAGGAGGAAGGATGGTGGACTCCATCCAGGGTTGTGGAGGATGGAGAAACAGTCGTTATGGGAAGCCTGATGCTCACTTTGAAGAATCTAGGAGCTGGAGAGAGGCTGGAAATAGGTACTCTAGGATAAAATCTTGGGGGATCTGGCATCTTCTTGTGGCCTAAGCCTGGCCAGCAGCTAAGCACCACCAGCTGCTTGCTCACTGCTGGGGGATGGGAGAGAGGATTGGAAGAGTAGAAGTGACCAGGGATGACAAGGCACTCCTCAAAATACTGAATAATCATCCTCCTGGCAGTGTGTCAGAGATGACTTCCTAAGTTACTCCTGTTCAGAGGAAAATGAAATATTTAATAGCACATATATTAGTTTCCTGTTCTTAAAAGTACAGCCTAAGAGGTTTGAGGGAAAGGATGTGGAAAGGTTTCAGTTTTTTAAAAAAATACATAGAGACCATGTGCTTGCATCTGGTTTTGAGATCCATAATCTTGTACCACTTTTTCCTTTTAAACCTTCAGAACATTTCAATAAATACTTCAGAAGTAGTCATGGAAAATCCGGAGAATGGAAATTCTGCTTTTCCAATATATTTTTTTTAAAGCACTTCCAATCTTACCTTAGTGCATGATTGCAACAGAAAAATTGACTTAAGAAAAATTGCAGCTGATGTGTCATAGCTGTAAAATCTGTCACAGCATCAATCTTTAATGCTGTGAAGGCTGCCTGGACACCTGAGTCACTATTTTTATGCTTTTTTGAAAGACTGCAGAAAACAATCTAGTGTGAGTGAGTGTTCCTCAAGACAGTAAAATGTTTGAGGGGTAAAATGTGAAATAGAGACACAATTATATGAGAAAACTGTTACCCTGCTCTGGAGAGCAAAGGGAAGGATTAGTTCCTGCTGCTGGTGTGTTTGTGGACCTTCAGTTTCTCAGAAGCTGTAAGATGTGTCACTGACCACAGCTTGGAAGAGTGGTATGGGCAAAGCTAGGAAAATTAGAGGTTTACTTTATAGGGAAATGAAAATTGTCACAATGCAGGAACATCCTCACTGGAGAGGGGAGAGATTTTGAAGCAATCAGAACAAGAGATCTCAGGCCAGTAACAAATGTTTCAGCAAAGCTGATAACTTGGTTCTGACCATGTGCAGGGGCACAGGCACAAAGCAGCCAGGAGAAGCAGAAGCTGCTTCTGGAGAGACTGTTCCTGGAGGACAGCAGGCATGGGTAGGGACATCAACAGCAAATACTGCTGCAAAGTGGAGGGGGAGAAAGGAAAGGGGAACTAACCTGATCAAGGGGTGGATTTAGGTAAATACTAACACATAACCTAACTTGATGCAGATTTCAATATTACTGACCATTATGCTAATGCATCTGGTGTGTTTTAAAAGGATTTATAGCACAGGAGGGTTAGAAAGAAATGTTTAGATTTGTGTATAATGCCTTTTTTCAGCCCTTTATATGCTCTCAAGAAAAATTATAAGCAAAAGTTATTTAAACCCTGGAATTGGAAGGTATTTCAGTGGTAGTTATCAGTCTTTGGAGTGATCTGGGAAGTCCTGGGCTCCAGTCCTTTGGGAGAATTTAAAGAGAGAACCACTCAGCCCAACCATGACTGCAAGATAGAGCAGGCTTGGTGACACATTTTTAACTGTACTTGAGTCTTCTCAAAATCTTAGATTGCCCTCCCAGGGACTTGTGCCCTGAGCAGTCCCATCTTACAAGTTGATGCTTCTGATGCTTCTCCTGATGATTCTTGTTGCTCAGAGACGCTGTGGCTGCCCCATCCCTGGAAGTGTTCAAGGCCAGGTTGGATGGGGCTTGGAGCAACCTGGTCTGGTGGGAGGTGTCCCTGCCCATGGCAGGGGGAGTTTGGACTAGATGATCTTTAAAGTCCCTTCCAACCCAAACCAGTCTGTGGTTCTGAACCCATGCTGCTGTGGCTTCTCCAGCAGAGCTGGAGGAGGGGAGCTAGGACTTCTGTCATTTCCAGCTGGGCTTCTGCAACATCCCTTTCTTGCTGGGTAGTCTCTATCTGCAAGATTTCAGAGACTTTATCCAGAGCTATTCAGTGAATAAAGAAAATTTCTGAGACATCAGTGTTGGATTTCGTCCTGCTTGGACAACACCCAAAAAAATGCTGGGGAGGGGGCCCTGAAAGACCTAGAGCTCATTTTGACCACTCTTCAATGATACTTCTGCCCAGAAGGAGTAAGAAGGAAATCAACTTGGCTTGAGGTTGGGAACCGTTGACTGGCTGCTATTACAGAAATCATGAGATGCAGTTTTAAACCAAAATTACTTTAAAGACGGCTCCATACGGCCTAGTTGAATTTTAATCCCTCAAAGATCCAAAACCTTTGCTTTGGCAAGCACCACCCTGCCACAATGGAAATATTCAGAGCCAGGGTAGCCTCATAAATAGAGAATAGCGACCACAAGCTAGAGCTTGCAGTGAAACCAAAGACATGTATTATAGCAAGAGAAAGAAAATCTTTTGTTTGAAAGCAGTTAAAAGAAGATGAGAGCAAGGAAACATTTACTTCATTCTTTGAGAATTTCAGTTCTGAGGGTTTTCTGCAAATCAGCACAATGACTGCTTCTCAGAGGGGATAGGGAGAGGAAGACCTCTTGGTACAGAAATGAGCATGGAGGTGGACCCTGCCCCAAAGGAAGAAGCACAGGAGTGATTCAGAAGTGTGGTGTTAAACCCAGGATGAGGTTTTAGCATCAGTTAAGGGCTTTGGGCCTTTTCTAAGAGGACTTGTGTGCTGAATTCTGTGTTGTGCTGCTGGAACCTGAGATTGCAGCCCACGCACGTCACTGTTGCCTGTGGTATCTTCCACATCAGTTGGAGCCAGAGAGTTGGATTCTTTCCCTGGCATTGTGCTGTGCACTCGTTGCACTTCACCCAGCAATTAATCCAGTTCCTGCTGCCTCTTGTAGGGTTGTGTGCTCCTCCCACACTGGAGATTGGGCAGTGGGAGAGCTCCTCTTGCCCTCACTGTGCTGGGTGTTAACAAGGAGAAATGGACATCAGTGACTTCAGAAGAGCTGACCCCATTTCTCACAGTCCAGAAGCCATTTTGACTTAATAGTTAGTTTTGTTCTGCCATTTGCTGTGCAAATGGCCTCCTCTGAAGGAACTCTCTGTCATTCTCCAGCAGTGCTGGTTGATTACATTTATGCAGAAGTCATAAAGCAGAGAAAAGTTAAAAACTGGAGAGAGTTTTAGTCCCAGGTTTGCTCACGCTGCTTTAATCCCTCATCCCTGGTAGTGAGAAAACCTGATACTTCAAGAGCCTTGAGGTTCTTAGCTGTGTACAAATTGGGTATTTCATCAGGGAAAGAACTCTTAAGAAAAGGGTTAAGTTCTCAGTTGGAAACTAGAGTGTATTTGCATATAATTGTCTAATCAGGAATTGAATGGCCCTTTGGAATTGTACAGTGAGGTAAATTGGAGAAGGATGTCCTAGCTGAAACAATAAGAGGCAAGATTTCCTGCTGTTAATATTAACAATGAACTTCTAAGCAGGCTGGAGAGAAACAATGCAACTCAACCACAGAAAGGTTGGGGAGTGACTTGCACAGAATTAGAGCAGCTTAGAGGTTTAGGTCCAGGAGTAAGAGAAAATCCACAAATACTGTGTTGAGATGCAGTCTTGTTGGCCTGAGGATTGGGGGTTTGAGGAGAGGAGGCCACAAGGATGATCCAAGGGCTGGAGCAGCTCTGCTCAGGAGACAGGCTGGGAGAGTTGGGGTGTTCAGCCTGGAGAAGAGAAGGCTCCAGGGAGACCTTAGAGCCCTTTCCAGTGCCTGAAGGGGCTCCAGGAAAGCTGGGGAGGGACTTGGGACATGGGTGTGATATGATGAGGGGTAAGGGTTTTAAGCTGGAAGAAGAGACATTTAGATTAGACATTAGGAAGGAATTCTTTAGTGTGAGGGTGGAGGGTCACTAGAAAATGTTGCCCAGGGAAGCTGTGGCTGCCCCATCCCTGGCAGTGTTGAAGGGCAGGTTGGATGGGGCTTGGAGCAGCCTGGGCTGGTGGGAGGTGTCCCTGCCCATGCAGAGGGGTTGGGACTGGATGATCTTTAAGGTCCCTTCCAACCCAAACCAGTCTGGGATTGTATAATTGTATGTAGGTTTGATTTTAGTCGTGTGCTGCTGCATAATTTTATTCAGGTGTAGAATATAGTTGTGAATGCTGTAACATTCTTTTATATATATATTTTGGGGAGAAGGATGAAAATTTGAGAAAGTTGGAACAAATGTAGGAGCAGATGCTGAGGTGTTCCATGTTGTGCTTGCAGCCTGCTTCCCAGAGGATAATGCCAGGGTTGTTCTGCTGATTTAGTTGTTGACTCCTTTTATAACCAGCCCAAGACTACAGAAGTTTTCACAGTATCTTTGATAGATTCTTCTGAAGTCTGCTTGGGAATCTTAGTCTTTTGGGTCACTGCTATGACCAATAGTGGCTTCAGGGACTTGGCTGATTGAGGAACTGCTCATTACTGGCTGAGTGAACCAGTGATCAGGCCTTTCCATCTTCAGTGCTCTGCTTCCTTTAGACTAGTGTCAAGGGCACCCATTTCCCCCCTCAGTGACTTCTCAGTCTAGAGTCCTACTAATGCAATTATTTAGAGACTAATGGGTTCCTAATTTAAAATATTTGATCAATATAATGGAATGAGATTAAGTACTGTAAATGACAACATCTACTTTAAGCCCTGTCCTGCTTGAGGTACCTTGACCATCTGTAGAATTCAGCAGCAGGCAGGCCTGAATAAACTGCTGCATGGAAGGAGATACTGGATTTTATGATGTTCCTCTCTACAAGAAACTGTTTTTCTGTGGGCTTCTGATACTGATATTCTGGGGAGGTGTTAAGGTTGTGAGGCATTGAACACATGGGAATTATTTTCTTCCTTTGTTGCAGATCACAGAGGCCTTGTTAAAGGAGAGAGATAAACAAGCAAAATGGAATGGGATCCCCTTGCTGTTGCAAAAACTGTATGAACACAGCCACCCCAACAGTGACTTCTCCCAGTGCCAAAGCATCTTAAAGGTACTGTGTACACTGTTCTTCCTGAATGGAGGGGTTATTTTCTTGTTGCTTTCTTTAAAGTCTGCTGTGATCACATTCTAAATTTTGATAGTGTTTGCATGATAGTATCAGTGAATTGGCTGGCAGAGAAGAGCTGAGAATTCATGTAATAGATTAGTCAGTAGATCACACATATAGTCAGAGACAATTGTGTTTATACTGATGAGTAGTTTTCTTTTTGAAATGTCTTTTTAATTTTTTTTTGTTGTTTTTTTTTACACTTCATGCAGGAAATTTCACCACTTCTTTCAATGGAAGCCATGGCATTTGTTACAGAAGACAGGAAAGTTGCTCAGGAGTCCACTTTCCCAAACACATACACATTTGACTTATTTGGAGGAGTCGATGTAAGTGTGTTTTTTCAACAATATCAAGTGAGGTCTTTGAGACCTTTAAAGCTTCTAGATGCCAAGTTGTAGAATGGCTTTTAACAATTTGATGTTAGGCATGAGAATTGTGTTTTTTCAACATGTAAGTGTGTTGTTTCAACAATATCAAGTGAGGTCTTTCAGACCTCTGAAGCTTCTAGATGCCAAGTTGTAGAATGTCTTTTAACAATTTGATGAGAATTGTGTCTGGTCTGTTAATAAAACTGTGAAAAAGGTGCATTTTCCAGGTATTACATCCCAAATGTGAGGTGCTTTTTCTTATAAGATCTAGAAATCCTGGCTGGTTCTTCAGGTAGACTGTTTTTAGCTTCTAAAAGGTTATTTTTAACCTGTAGGTTCTCACTGAAAGCAGTTTCAAATTCTTTCTAGTTGTGAGGTTAAATACTCCTGCTGGTACTAGAG